AAATTCACAATATTGAAATTTTACAAAACTTTGTTTAGAATCAAACTGTAATCTCATTTTTTGACGGTTTTATTGCCATTTACATGTATACAAAGTACTACATGATTCACTTCATAATATAAGAATAAGTCTAGTAAGATTTTTAAATAAGTTCATCCATAATAAACGTGTGGTACCTGAAATGTCCTTTAAACTACATAATAAAACATGTCCTGGGTTTAGTGATTACATATTTCTAGATGTTCTTGTAGCAACCAACAGGTGAATATTTCCAACAAATTAAGTCATACACATGATAAATATTATATTTATGACGAAAGCACGAGACTTAAACTTAAATTAACACTAAATGAAACTCAAAAACACTATTACAATGAGAATATTATCTAAAAACAGTTAAAAAAATCACAAATACAAAATCCGCCCAAAACAAAAACATGTAAATAAACAAACATCCTACTTATAGATGACAAATGACAGGCGCGCGAAAATTAATTTGAATCGCCAATTGTATAAAGATAAATTTCTACTTTTAAACAGATCAATTAACAGTTTCGGCTACTCTCCACCAGTAGGGCACCATCTCCTTATGCCGGGAGGGTACGGGAGGTAGTCAAACAGAATTTATACAGTCGCTGACTAACTATCTCTACTCTTTAAACAATGCTGGCAGCCACATACTTTGATTTTCTTTACTATACGGCGCAAGAGAGAGGTCCGACACGCCCAACATAGGGCCCGGCCATTTTGAACCCTATGCAACAGTTTATAGCTAAAGAATCAGATCGCTCACTCTGCGTCGGCACTTTAATCTCAATGTTCCAGTTTATACACTGCGCAACTCGGATAATACAATATATATCAACCGCCTATAATAAAACAGCTGTCTTCTGCGTATCCTAAATTTGTATCCCTGGGGGTCGATTCTCGACTTTTATTCCCATGGGAAAATAAAATTTTCCCATGGGAATTCAGTTTTCGTATTCTCGGCATAAGCGGTGGAATATTTTCCAATGAGAAGTATGGGAAAATATTCCCCTGCTTACGAGCATTGGAAATTGTGTTTTCCAATGGGAATTGTACTAGAGTTAAGAATTAAGAAATTTGTAGTAAATTTAATAAGACCTTTTCGAAAATTTTTATTATTTCCGTTAACGAAAGAATTTCTTAGTTTCTCGAAACTTTCGTTGCTCTTCTATACAAAAGCTACTTTTTCTTTTTTCAATATGTGAAAAGAAAAACTAAAAATAACTCTATAAGTTTTAATTATACATAATCGAATATTTTCACTTGTCCTCGGTCAAGCTAGCGATTGCTCGGCACGGCATCTGCTCCAGCGCAGAGGCTCGGCAGGTAATCGGTTACCCAAAAACCACAACAAATACAAATAATACCAACAGTAAATTTTAAAATATCTTTAATGTTATTGGTTATTTCGAAATATTCGTGAACTTAATATCAGACATACGTGAAACTATTATTTCCATGGGAATGTCTATTCCGACAAGTTCGAGAATTGCATAACCTATTACCATGGGAATATAAGTAGTGGAATCTTTTCCCATGGGAAAATTTTCCAATGAACTCGAGAATCGAGCCCCTGGAGTGGATCTTATTTTGAAACTTTCAACTGGTCCGAGTGAGCTAACTGATTCTTTAGCAATAATCTGTGACTCAAAAAATAATATTCACTGACACTGACAGCCGCAAGCAAAATATCAGGTGCGTTTTAATCATCCGCTTCTGCTTCCGGAATTGTCGGTTTAGTCGTTTTAACTTGTCAAATTAAAACAAGAAAACCGACAATTCCGAAGCAGAAGCGGATGATTAAAACGCACCTATTAAAAATATTGCGCCAAGATGTAGGCAACACGTAATAAGGGTTCAAAATGGCGGAGTTTTCTATCTCCTTTTAAAAGGCACTCAGAAAGCTGCGCAGTGCGACCATTCTCCGTATAGTAAAAGAAAATCAAAGTATGTGGGGTCAGACCATAGATTACTAATGGGTCAGAAGGCGAGTTCGGATAGTCAGGGGCTGGAGCGGGACATATTTTAGGGTGCTTTTAAATGACATTTAAGCGTGTTAAACCCCAGTATATATACCAATCAGTATTGGCACTCTGAAGGCGAGTTCGGTCAGTCAGGGGCTGGAGCGGGACAAATTTTAGGGTGCTTTTAAATGACATTTAAGCGTGTTAAGCTGTCACTAATCGGACTAAACCGAACGCTAAAAGAGTCGTTTGGAGTTAAAAGTGTTAAAGGAGTTAAAGGAACGTGGCAAACCGAACGCAATGTGAGGCGGCACGTTTGATCTTTAAAAGTAGAAATTTTAGTTGACACTTGACGTTTTCGGGATATGAAAAGTTTTCTTTACACGGACTTGGTATACCTGGTTAGTTGAATTTTTGTTCTGCTGCTTTTCAAATGTGTGTGTATGAGCGAGATGTGAGATACCTTTATAGACAACGGTTGAACAACTTAATTACTTTGAAGAAGAAAATAGATTAGATATCAGGGCAGTCTTCGCAAATGTGAGAAGGCAGAACCGTTTTAAATTTTTTTTATATATGTGAAATATTACTTTTTAGTGAAAAGTTTAATTACTTTTACTTCAAAATATAACGTTAGCTTGTCAAGGAAAATATATAACACACAAGGTTAGAGTAACAAAATAAAGGGTTTGCTTTGTTTCTTAAGAATTACTCTAATCTAAAACTTTTCTATGTTGTAGAAATTTATTCTATACGTTATTTAGGTACTTACTGCAAAATCTATGTAGTTTTAAATATAAAAATTTATAATGGAGACATATTTAGTGTAGTTTTTTTTACAAATATATACTCAGTGACTTGTTTTAGTGAATGAGTTCAAGTATGGCAGACTAAAATCGTTACTTTTTATTAGAACATTTATTTAAAAATGGGAACCATATGTATATGGTTTGCGTAGTTTTTACACTTGTAATAAAAATAGCAAAGTTATGTTTATTTGCCATTTACTACACACAGCAAATTCATAGACACTATTTGACATTCTTATTAAACTCATTAATTTAAAATTAACTTTAAACTGAGTGACTACACACAGAATTGTTTGAAAGCAGCCATAAGGTATAATTTATTTATTGTATACTATAAAAAATTAATAGTAGTTAAATGTAGAGTTAAGTAACAAGAACTTTATAAACAAAACAAACCTTTATATCTAGTGAACTTAATTTAGTACAGGCCTCAACTTTCTTAGGCTAACATTAAAGATATCTATTTGGACCTCGCTAAAAAACTCATTGGTAACAGCCATTATCTTGTTAAAAGGAAATATACTACTTGGATTTTAACTAAATAATTTTTTGTTACTTGGGATTCTTAGATTAATATTTGCCACATTAAAATTTATATAGTCAATCAAATCACAATCTTTGTACTTAATATTATTTAAAATAGAGTACAAAATATATCACAGTTCTTTCTTCTTTGTAAAAGAGATTTAATCTTAAAACTATAGAGCATATTTTGATATGAGATCTTATAAAGGTACAAGTATTTTTTATGGCATAAAGGTACGGTAAAAATATTTTTTGTACTTTTTCAATATGATCAGTATGTGTGGCTTTCAAGGGCATCCATATTTGTGAAACATACTCAAGATTGGGGTCTTAGTAAGGCATTATATAATCTGATTTTGGTGGTAATTCTAATTTTTTTTTGTATTTCTGATTTAAAAACCCAAAGCTTTTATTGTTATTTTAGTTATGTGTAAGAAATGGTTAATAAACTTCAAATTAGACTGAAAGACAACTCCAAAATCCTTTATCTCATATTAACGATTTAATGTGACATCACAGGTCTTGTGTCTAATGTAAAAAATTAAGAGGCTATGGATCCTTACAACTTAAAATATTCATATGTTTGTAAGTGTTAAATGGACGGATAAAAAGTGTTGTTTTAATTTACAATTATAATAAGAAACATATCATTTTTGATACCTGATAATCAATAAACAATATATTTTTTGGAGTAGTAACAAATTTATTAATACACAACTATTATTTTGTTACAAATATTTATATTATAATATTTATAATTAACATAATAGTTGATATAAGTCCTTTAAAAATAATATATTTTGATTTAATTGTTGAATTTATACATGAGCAATTTTCCTTATAGCGTTGTTTACATTTTGCAGAGAACTATTGTATTCTGCTTTTAGCTGATAAATCATGTACATGTAAACGGGTTGAATGTAGACAATGTTAATGTTTTTGCTACTACTGCTGGCTAGGAACGCTGGGCTGGGACACCAACACAAAAAAAACGAAGCACAAAGCACTAGATCAGTTTCTATCACTTATACACTTACAATTTACAACCATTCAAGGAACTAGCATGTTGGAAATACTTTACGAAAACATATTAAACATAAATCAGTCGAATGCAATGTATTTTCTTCTTATAAGACACCTTTTTAGCTTAATTACTTCTAGTACTCTATTTATTCCAATGTCCTCAAATAAAACGAGCAATAATGCATAACAATAAGGATAAAACACACACTAAAGTGTATTTGGGGTATTTTTGATCTAAATTCACTATCAAAACAACAAATTTTCCGTTTTTAAGTTGTAAATGTATTACAAAAACTACTTCGATAAAATGTAAACAAAAGTTTGTATTTGTGTACGAAATATGGATTGCCTGCGCATGGTAGCGAGTTTTTAACCGGATTTATGACAAGTGATAGGTTATATCCCGAAAACGTCAGCGCAGTAAAAGCTGCGTGTCTTTTTCCCGCCCAGGGAGTGTCATGGGCCTGGTTAAACTGTCACTAATCGGACTAAACCGAACGCTAAAAGGGTCGTTTGGAGTTAAAAGTGTTAAAGGAGTTAAAGGAACTTGGCAGACCGAACGCAATGAGACACGCCGGGCGAGGTTTCTATACGCACTCTCCCACTTGTCTTTTCAGCAAATTGACAGTGACATGACATTAATGACAGTGACATTTAGTAAACACGTCATATTCAAATTGAAAAACCTAATCTGAAATCATTACATTTAAAAATGAATTTTCCAGTTGAAGTGCTACCTTCGGTAGATACAATTGATATTAACGAAATCAATCAGAAAGTTCCTGAGTTAAAATTGACAATTGATAACTTAAAAAGCGAGATTTTACAATATACAGACAATGTTTACATCAAATATAGTAGCATGTCCCGTCCTAAAAAGAATAGAGAACTTCTCAACACGGCTCAAAATATCGAAGAAGAGATTAAACATTTAATCCAAAACGCAGAAAATGTTACCAAAACAGATTTATGCAAAGCTAAAGAGAAATTAACAGAACACACCAAAAAACTAGACACTATTGATTTCACGTTAAAAATCCTGTCTAATATTTGTAAAATTAATGAAAAATTGAACGAGTTTACGACATGTTTGCAGGCTAATCAGTTTTACAAGTGTAGAAAAATTCTAAGCTGCTTGGAATATATTATTAGTGAGATTCCGGATGATGAAAAATTACTTATTATCGATCAACACCAGTTTACAATTTATGAGAGATACAAACTACTATTAAACAAAATAAGACATTGTTTTCAAGAAAAAGTGGTGACCAAAAGCGAAGATAACTCTGCCAGTATAAGGATTTATAGCGATATTTATCCCTTAGATCAAGCACTGTTGGCTATGTTTTACAATGAGTCTTCTGTATTTACTTTAAGTGAGTTTGCAGGGTTTTTATGGAAAAATTTCTTTGTGCCTATCGTGGACAGTGTAGTGGAGGTGAAAGTTGATGCAAATGATACTTTTTCTACACTTTACTTGAGTAATATCAATCTTAACAAAAAATCTACATATAAAGAAGTGTTTTCTCAATTAATATTAGTCTTAGAGTTCTTAAAAAATAATTTTAATTTTCCTTTGACCGATTTAGAAGCCACTTTAACTACTGTAGAGTATATAGGGTTGGATATACAGGATAATCTATCTGAATTAATTATTAAACATTGTTTAGTGGATACTATACCTTCTACTGTTGAAGGACTTCAAAATTACAAAGTAGTTATCCAAGATACAAATAAATTAGAATTGGTTTTGAGGGAAACTAAGATATTTTCTGCAGAAACAGCTTCTTTATTAGAATATGCCAACAATATAGACTTCCATTTCATTAATAAAAAATGTCAGGATTATACATTACATTCCCAGCAGATAATGAAGAAAGATCTGCACGATGTACTAGAAGTGGGGGAGCCTTACGACCCTGAAAACTCGATGGTGGCAGAATTAGAACAATTTTCGCAATACTCTATATCGAAATCTGTGATTGAACTCCTTGACTATTGCGAAAAAATCCTACAGCAAGCCGTGAATGGTTCAGATATGTCTGCAGGTAGGTTACTAGTGACCTGTCAGAATATCTTAAGAAGCTACACTACTTTTGTACCAGAATACCACAATAAACTACTGAAAACAATTCCTCAACAAGTTGCTCTATTCCACAATAACTGTTTATATATTAGTCATTATTTGAGTAAGTGGAATGCAAAATATGTGTTAAAAATGCCTTCTACTTTGGACTTACCTAGTAAAGGCTTTGATAGGGAAATTAGTATCTTAAAATCTGTCGGTTCAGATATTTTTGGTTCTTATGTTAAAAGCCAAATAAAGCAAATTCATGAAATAATGAAATATAGTGGTCTGGACGGAGTTATGCTAGAAGGCGACTTAAAACCTGTGACAGAAAAGTGCATACGACAGTGCTTGAGACAACAAGAGCTGCTAAAGACAGTATGGCATAAAATATTACCCTATCGAATATATAACGAAACTATTGGCATCATTCTAAACACTTTATGCACTTGTTTGATAACCCCAATTATTAATTTTGAAGATATTTCTTCCAAATCGGCCGAACAATTAGTGGACATTATTAAGATGATTATTAGTCGGGGGCCGAAGTTGTTCACTGATCCTAAAGAGGTCAGTTTGTATGTTAAATTTTGGTACAAATTAAATGAGTTGAATTTCGTATTGGGCGCCAGTTTGGTGGACATCAACGATAGATGGGCGGATGGAAAAGGACCTCTAGCATTGCAGTTTAAGCCTGTAGAGTTGAAATCACTAATAAGAGCTTTGTTTCAAAATACCGATAGAAGGGCTGCTATTTTGGTTAAAATACAGGAATAGGGCCAAAAAGTCTTAATTGTTTTGGTTATTTATAGTTTTTAATCATTAAGTTTAATATATTTATGTCTATGAATATTATTTATGTTAATACAATCTTTACACAAGTTATGTGTTTTTGTTGATATCTAAATATTAGAATAGTAAAGTCTTCAACAATGCCCTATCTCACTTATCTGGAAAAACAAGAAATTTAATGAAAAAGGCTGTTCTTATAATACATGATACATACAGTGGTATGGTACTTCCCAGGTGGCACACTACATCTTAAAGATATCCAGCTCTTACTTTGGTCCAAACGTTCTGGTACGTAAAACGGACAGTTTTAAGACGTCTTTGTTAGGATGTTTTTAGGACGTTTTTAATGTCTGTAATGTTCAACTCTTCGCTATATTTGAATATGGTGCCACGACACCGTTCTTGGCGCTGCCTGCAGCACATGTATGGTCATCACATAGTGATTGATTAGTTTAAATGTGTTAATTTAAAGTATATTTGCTTAATATTCACCATATTATAACAATTAAGAAATCTGTTTTAAATAATAGGAATTTTGAAGAATTTACATCTTGGAGAGCACAGGAAAATAGGAAAGTTAATATGCTTGTCAGACCAGAAACAAATTTAAAAATGGTGACGATAACGCATATTTTACAATTGCAATAGAAGTAATTTCAAAAGTTGTACTGTTGCATGAAGAAATATAGTAGGATAACTGTTAAGTTTTGGACGTGGAAACTTCTTCTGAAAAGATGAATTATTCTCCTTTTAAACGGCAAAGTTTATTGACAATACAAAATTATATTTTTGACAAAAACATTCAACTTTTTTTTTAAAATACATGGTGTGATTTTTTAACACTTCCCCTTACTCGAGTATGTTAAATTTAAAATTATAACTGTCCATTGTATTTAGCTATCTAAATATAATGGTACCACTTTTACTAAATAAAAGTCCATAATCAGATGTTCCAACCAAGTATCTCAATACTCGTTTTGCAGCCGTCCGATGTGCGGGCCCGCCGAGAGCTAGACCGGGCCCCAGGACAATTCTCCAGATCGGGCCCCGCGACAATTTTATAAAACATTAAATAGAAGAAGGTCTGCAAAAATTTCTCCTGCTTTACGCAAAAATTTCTTCTCCTCTACTTGAATTTCTCTAAAAAAAAATGGTAAGAACTTTCCCCTCTTGTGTCAAACTTCTGAAAGTAACAACCAACACCGCTGCCGGGCCCCCATTTGAGCCCGGGAATTAGTCCCGGCTACCCCCCCCCCCCCCCCCCCCTCTAGTCTGTCCTGCCGATGTGCGTTGTAACAAAAGTGTTGTACTAAATTAATTTGCTACAAACATAAGTCCCAGACCCATCCAATATTTCTAAAGTCCCCTTTAAGATTCAACAAGTATGCTATGAAATGACTATAAAGCTAAGTGTTGAGATAAGGGGATCGGAGATGAAGAGAATATAGCAAATAATTCCAGCTTTCAACTATGAGGTCGAATCGAAGCATATACAGCCCAAACAGCAAAGTACGTCTTAAGTACGTACAGTTTTGATAATGTACGTTTTAAGTACGTACAGAAAAATACGTACAGTGTACGTAATCCTGGTTTCATACATATTTTTTTGAAAAATCGATGTTTTTACCAAATTCCTGTTGAGTGTAGGCCAAAAAAAATTGTTTTTGTTAGTTTTTCATGTTTAAGGATTTAAGAGGAGAATTTACCTTTCTCACAGAAGGATAGGGGTTTAGCGGTGTGGTCGGAAGTATAAACCCAGTATATATACCAGTATAAAATTCGGTCTTAGTGGGAGGAGCCTAAATACTATAAAATGTGTTTTGCGACCGATTTCTTCAATGACACGATGTCCGGTAGTTTTAAGTATAACGATTACGAGGGAATTCGGTATTGAATGCGCTCCGCCGCTCCAGAAGTAATGAAATTCATCCTCAACGGATCAAAATCGACTATAAAATGTATTTGTTTTTGTGTATAACCAGATCAGACCACATATGTTTTGTAAACTAAACATTTTTACATTCTAAATGGGGCTTGACAACTTTTTTATTGTGTTCGATTTTTAAATAGAAAAAATAATTGAGGATTTTTAAAAATTCCGTTTTTTGAGTTTACATAGTTATAATTCTAAGGACCGATTCCACCGTTGTGTTAGGGTCGATTCCACCGTTGTGTTAATCGAAGTTTAAAAAGACATTTTTACATTAACAATGTCATTTTAATCTCCGGTTAACACAACGGTGGAATCGGCCCTTAAACGAAGTTTAAAATTACATTTTTACATTTAACAATGTCATTTTAATCTCCGTTTAACACAACGGTGGAATCGACCCTAAGACTAATTGAGATATCGACTTGATTCTTTTTTTAGATTAAAGAACAAGGAAAACTGTTTCCAACAATTCTCATTTTACTAGAGATATTATTCATATATGTGTTTAAATAAATGATAAAATATAAGTTATACAAAAATGTATTGAAATTTTCAGTAATCGATAAACTTTTTTATTTGTAAAAATGTTTGGGTACATGAAGCGAAGCAAATAAGCAAACAGGTCTTAAAAATATTTTCGATATAAAAAATTCGCTAGGAATCGCCATTTTTGAGTTATTCATTTTTTTGTTAAACCATACAGACTTGAAGGAGCGCGCTTAATACATTATGATTAGACGTCGAATTAAATGACGTAATAATCAAAAGATACAAACACAAAATTAATCCCGCATACAATTAGTTAATTTATTTGTATTAAAAGGTAACCGGTTTCGGCTCAAGGGCCAGCATCAGGCCTGGAAAGGAAGTAAACTTAAATTAAGTACAAGATAAAATAAACAACTGATATAATATGGTTATACATATAAATAACATGATCTCAGCAAGAAAAGCAGCAGTCAAAAAAATAATGAATTGAAGTAACAAACAAGAAACAAACAGTATACCTCAACAAAAAATGAAATTAATTCAAATGAGTAATTCACAAAGTACTTAATTGCTAATATTTTAAAAAGCAATATCTGCAGAGACACTAGTTTCCATGTAGGTCTATAATTGGAATTTCAAGAGAAACACATAAAAGTAAGAATAATACTAAGCTATAATAAAAAAAATTAAATGCAAAAAAATATTTAAAATTTGTCTCGTACTTCTAAACCTCTTGAAATTCTACTATTTACAAGTTCTGGAAGAACGAATTGTAGATAAAAATCAATAACTTTTTGTTGAATTTCGTTTTTCCAAAAATAACAATATTTATATTTTATATTGTGATACATGCAACTGTCCTTGAATGTTTTTTTTATACAAGCCCTAACAACTATATGTTGGAACAAGCAGTTATTTTGCGAATAAAATGCCAATTTAACGAAATTCTTTTATTCTAATTTTTGTTAATTGTAAACATGAAATTAAAAATATTTTTTATGATGTATGGAATTATTTTTATGATTTAATTATATATTTTTTGTTGATTACTATTTAATTACTTGTTTGACAATCGAAAAATGCTGACAACTAAATATTGGAACATATTTAGCTTTGCCTTAGGTTTCTTGAGTTTTATCAGCCTAACGCAAATGAGGCTTTATTAAGAGTAAAATACAATATTGGTACGTAGAAAACCTACTGATCCTTTTGTGCGAGAAATTATTATTCATCAATACCATAAACGGAAACAATGCCTGAAATTTCCAGTGAATTGAATATAGCAACAACTACTGTGTTTAATATAATTAAGAAATATGGTGACACTGCCAGTATTGATGTTCGGGGTAAAAGCTCAGGCCGTCCAAAAGCTGTGTCTCAAAGAAGTGTAAGGCATTTAATAAGAATATGTAAGTCGGGAAGAAGAAATACACTACGAGAAGTAACCGCAAGGTGGAATAAAGAAACTGGAATGAATGTTTCCAGAGAATGCTTATAAGGTACGTTTAATAGGTTCTTCTTTGCGGTATAAATTTTCTAATTTTTAAATTATTCAAATTTGACGGAAACTCAAAAAAGGAATCGTTACATTTGGGCCAAATCAAGACTTTCGTGGACCAAACATAACTGGGACCACAGTAATCTATAGCGACGAAAGCAAATTTGATATCTGTGTGGAAGATTACCGAAAGATTCGGGAAAAAACAGAAGCATTCCATAAGAATTGGTTCAAGGGGACTAAAGTTTCCGCAGGGCATCATGGTGTGGGGTTGTATGTCGGCGAAATAGTTGGGAACTTTACACTTTATTGAAGGCATAGTAAACGCAGCCAAATATCAAGATATCCTTGAACATTCGCTTTTACCAAGTACAGCAAAGTTATATCCATCCGGAGATTTTATCTTTCAACAGGACGGAGCCTCATGCCATACGGCTAAATCTACTAAAAAATAAATGGGAGAACATGACATTACAGTTTTGTTACATCCCTCTAGCAGCCCGGATCTTAATCCAATAGAGACACTTTGGCACAAAATGAAACAACGCCTAAGAAATAATCTTCAGCGTACTTTACCACAACTACATGCTAAATTGCAAGAAATATGAGATAGTTTCACCCCTAAATTTTGTGAAAGCCTGGTTGGTACAATGCCTAATGGACTTCAGGCTGTTAGTCGAGCTAAGGGTGACGTTACGCCTTTATTAATTTTTATTTTAATTGGTTAAAAAGCACTTTGTTCCAATATTTAGTTGTCAGCATTTTTCGATTGTCAAACAAGTAATTAAATAGTAATTAACATAAAATATATAATTAAACCGTAAAAATAATTCCATACATCATAAAAAATATTTTTAATTTTATATTTACATTAAAAAAAAAATAGAATAAAAGAATTTCGGCAAATTGGCATTTTATTCGTAAAATAACTGCTTGTTCCAACATATAGTTAGGGCTCGTATGGAACGGGTTGTTGGCTGAGGCATACAAAAAGAGACAAAAAATTCTAACGATATTTATATATAATGTGGAGTCAGTTTATTTATTTTTATTCTTATTTAGCGAAAACTCATTATTTTCAAAATAATGTGACGAAAGTCTAATTTATTTAAAGTTTATTTATTTAAAAACACACTATTTACAATTTATTTCAGACGTACTATTTATAT